TGATAGAGTTTCCGCTCTCTATTGATAATTGATTTACAAGTTTCCGCTCTCTCGTGATAATTGTACTTTGATGTTACAGGTTTTATCCCTACCATTATGCACCATTTGCTTCTGATCTGAAGGATCTCGGAGAGCTTGATATTAAGTTTGAACTAGGAACTCCGTTTAAGCCTTTCAATCAACTTCTTGGGGTGTTCCCAGCTGCAAGGTAAGTTACCTTTGGCAAATTCTTTCTTTTTTATACATTCTTGTTTCCGTTCTAATGGCATATATGTAATTATTATTTCATTTGGTCAGTGCGCATGCACTTCCAGAGCGCTATAGGACTTTGATGACGGATCCCAACTCTCCTATCATTGATTTTTACCCAACTGGTAACGCTTCCTTTTCTCAAAACGATTCTATCTTTTCGCTCGGCGTTACGTGTTGTAACAAACTACATATCGACATCTCTTTCTATTGCTTTTTACTAGATTTTGAAGTTGACATGAATGGAAAGCGTTATTCCTGGCAGGTAGGCTTTCTGTCTTTCCTGATTGCTGACTTACTCATGTATTAAAAAACACAAATCACTTATATTTTCGAATGTATTCCACTTTTTTCCTTAAAGGGTATTGCTAAGCTGCCTTTCATTGATGAAAGACGCCTTCTAGAAGCTGTTTCCGAAGTGGAATTTACGTTGACGGTATGGTGCCAATGCCTTGCTCCTTCATCTTTTATGATTTTCTTCAGAGCAAGATGTGCTTTCAAAGAGATGGTTTTTTATGTGTTCTTTCTTCAATCTGTAGGATGAAGAGAAGCGTAGAAACAGCAGAATGTGTGACATGCTTTTCATAGCAACGTCTCATCGCCTTGCTGAACTCATCTTTTCGCTTGACAACCATTGTCGGCAATTGAGTGAGAGGGAGAGAGTAGATCTTAAGGTTAAGATCAGACCTGAGCTGAGGTTTGTAAAATTAACACAACTTATACTTTATAACTTTACGGTGGTTAGTTGGATATTACACTTGCAATAAGATTTTCCCGATCTGTTTCCTGATGTTTTTAGAACTACTTGCAGTGATGGTATGAACGGCTACTTGACTCCGTGTTCAGGGGAGACTCACCCGCCTATATTCAGATCTCCCATGGAGGGTATGGAGGACATCTTGACCAACCAAGTCATGTGAGATCACGGACCTAGTTTTCAAAGCTTAAATTGATAAAAGTATTCAAAGCTGATATATGTTCTTTGCTTCTCAGATGTTGCATTTACAGACTACCGGATGCACATGAACACATAACCAGGCCTCCTCCCGGTGTCATTTTCCCTAAGAAGGTACATTATACTACAAAGTCATTATCTGTCACTGTCATCACTTTTGTGTGACCTCTATCGATAAATCTTTTAGGTAGCTTAAGTTTGTTTTTTTTCTCTCTCTTAGATTGTGAACGTAGGAGACTTGCAACCCCCACCAGCCCTGTGGCATGAGGACAATGGAAGGAGACCAATG